TCATCATCATCATCATCATCATCATCATCATCATCATCATCGCCCGTTGCTGTAAAGTTTTTCCATCTCTACCTGTTTTCCAGCATCAGTCGTTTTCTCGTGACCGGTTTTCTTCAGCTCGCTCTTCCTCTTCCCGTCCCTCTTCAGCTCTCCTTTCCCAGCAGCCCCGTTACCCTTAGCGAAGTCCCTGCTGCGCTCTTTGCCGCCGCCGTCCTTCTGATGATGGTTCCGCATCGGCTCGCGGCTCTGCTCTCGGGGTTTGATGTTCTCCTTGAAGGTGACGACGGGTCGGTCGCTCCCGTCCGGCCACGAGCTCTGCGTCTTCCCCGCCGACAGCACCGACTTCAGGCCCGAGTTCCCGCCGTCGTTGGGCGTCTGTTCGCCGTTGGACGACTCCTGCAGCACCGGCGCCTCCTTCTCCTGCGGCTCCTCGATGGCCTGCTCTGGAATGTCAGTGATGAAGACGAGGAGACCGTCCTCGCTCACTCTGCACTGAATCAGCCTGGAGAGAGGAGACAGATTATCTACTGAGTCCTGAGGCCTCAAGTGACCTCTGACCCTTCACCTCAGCAGTGACAGTAAAACTTATTCTACTATTCAAATAAAATCCTTGAAGAGTTTCAAAAAGATCAATAAATGAACAGGAAATAAAATAAACACAGAGAGCGAGACGTCTGTGTGACACTTTATGTTTGTGAGAGAAAGAGCGAGACAGAAAGAGAGAGCGAGAGACAAAGAGCGAGAGACAAAGAGTGGGAGTTGAAAGATACACAGCTGTTTCTAAACGCCTCCTCCTGCTGTTTTTGAGTGATTGTTGTGAATTCTCTGATTATCAATTCTAAATAAATAATGTTTTATTTGTGATGACATTTTTGTTTTAACATCGCTCTGAAATGAGTGACATCACTCCGGGTGTCTGAGGAAGTGCGAGAGAGAGAGAGGCGACCTCGCTTTCTCTCACAGTGGTAAATCAGTAAATGAAATACAAACAGGCTGCAGGCTTTTATTCTGGAGCGTTTCCTGTGACTTCACTGTGTGAGAGCCGTCAGACTGTCAGCGACAGGCGATGACAGGAACTCACCCCGGCTGGTTGTCGGCCACCCACTTGCCCAGACTGACGAGCCTCTGGTGGCGAGTGTGGACCGGCAGACCGTCTCTGTCCACCAGGATTCCCTGATGACCTTTAGTGAAGTCCAGAGACCTGAAACACCAACATCACACGTCAGCACACGGCGTCAACCCGACTGAACTTTCATCCCACTACCTCAGTGATGGAGGAGACTCTGTACCTCAGAGCGGGCCGCAGAGCCAGGAAACCCTGGAGCTCAAACTCCTCCGGCAGGGGTGTGACTGAGGAGGAAACAAACACACCTTCGGTTAAAACATCCGACACTCAGAAACCACAGCGGCGTCACATCAGTGTCGGTCTGTGTCGGATCTAAAGAAATATCAACAGACGAGAAATGAAGCAACACACCAGAACAAAGTAAGTTACTTCCTCCTCCAGGTCACATCCTGTTTATCCACAGTCAGAAAATATTAAACGTGTCTGTGGAATTCTGTCGCATTTGCTGTTTGAAGAGAATGAATAAAAGTGTCTTGTGAGGTCAAGAAATTCCCTCAAAGCGTTACTGAGATATCACGCTCACAAGGCCAAAACCGCGCTTTATGGGGTCACCGTGACCTTGACCCTTGACCTTTGACCCTCAGAATCTAATCACTTAATCCTTGAGTCCTAGTGAATGTTTGTGCCACGTTTGAAGACGTTCCGTCGAGGCATTGCTGAGATATCGTGTCCACGAGAATGGCTGGCTGTGACCTGAGGTGACTCTCAGTCAGAACGATCAATGAAGTGAATTGATAACCTGATTGGTTGACTGAACATGAATCAGGACCAGCCTGTGTCCTACCTGAGGAACAGGACACGTCGTCCTCTTTGGGGTGGAAACTGTTGAGGATGGAGACGAGCCAGGGCCAAACGCTGAGACACAGGAAGAGGAGGAGTTAAAGCTTCAGGTCAGAACCAATCAGAACGGCTTAAATACGGAGGGTCGTCAGACTTACTGCTGCCTCTGGTCGACGGCGGCCTCGTGGAAAACGCTGGGTCTCAGTTTGAGCCAGTCCAGAGAGACTTTGATGGCCGGCAGAGGACACTCCCCCATGATCTCCTCCCCCCTGTTCTTGTTGAGCAGGACACGGCTGCACATGACGCCCAGGAAGGACACTGAGGAGACAGGAAGTCACATCAGACACCAACCAATCAGAGAGAGAGAGAGCAGAGACTCCGCCATCGCTCCGCCACTGTTTGAGCTGCAGACTTTTTCTCCTCAAACTAGACGATCGGTGCTTTCTATCGAGCCACTGGTCATCCTTCTCTCTGCGTCTAAAGTAACGTCACTCAGTTCTACATTCCTACTGGCTCCAGTGGGCGCTGTCACAGCCAATCAGAGTGTCTGATTCAGACGCCTGCCTCGGCTGTATACCCATACTGAATGGGTTTTATTCTGAGTTTACTGTGGAGACAGAAGGATGAGAGCATGTGCCCTGAACACTGCCTGAAATAATTATTAACAAATAACAGATAAAGTATTAAAGTATAAATACTAATGGATAAAGATAGAAATGATGATGATGATACCCTCCATCATCCTGAAGTCTCTGAGTGACATATGATCAGCTGGGGGGGGCATTATCAATCATTTTCATTATTTCATTAAGATACAAAGGTTAGTCTGTTGGTCTGTTAGACTGAACCTTAGACATTAAATATGTAAGGTTTTAATGAGGCGATCTGTACGACTCATCTGAAGGAGATCGCATGTCAAAGTCACTTCGTCCTCCTCCAACAACAAGTCTGAGCATTAGATTCACTCACTGAAGAGTCCGAGCAGCTGGAACCAGCTGATCTGCTGCTCGCTGCTGTAGCTCTGCTCACTGCCGTCGGCCGTCAGGTCTCTGAGGTGGTGCAGCTCAAACAGGTTGATGACTGTGATGTGGACCAGCTGCTGAGAGCTGAAGGCTTTCTGCAGGATCAGCCTCTGCACACACACACACACGCAGAGAGACACAGACACACACACGCAGAGAGACACAGACACACACACACACACGCAGAGAGACACACACACACACACACGCAGAGAGACACAGACACACACACGCAGAGAGACACACACACACACACACGCAGAGAAACAGACACACACACACACACACACACACAGACACACACACACACACACACACACACAGACACACACACACACACACCAGGTCAAACAGTGGCTTCAGATCACAGCAGCAGCCTGATGAATGAACATGCTGGGCGTCTGCTGTACCTGGAACTGCTCCTCCAGTTTCTCCCTCAGCCCGTCCAGTTTGTCCAGACTCTTGCTCAGGTAGACATGACCGTGAAATTTGATGAAGGCCTTGATGAAATCGGACACGCTCCACTTGGTTTTCACCTCGTCGCGACTACAGAAGCACAGAGGGAGGACAGAGGAAACATCAGACTGTTGGCTTGATTTGAACCAAGCAGGAAAGGAAAGGGTCTGCTGTGCTGGTACCTCTCCAGAGCCTTGGACAGGGCCTTCTGCAGGTTGGTGGAGGCTGCGGGGAAGGGGAACTTGACTGCGATGCTGCGGCAGTAGTAGAAGATGGTGGTGAGGTGGTCTCCTTTAGAGGAGGCCAGGATAGCCAGCTGGTTGTACGGCTGACCTGCAGCGGACACAGAGGAGCCTCAGACTACAAACACGGTCTCGTTTTATTTCTCCACCCACCCTCCCAGCCTATCCAATAAGGCTAAGTTAGCCTTTAGCCTAGCTTTAGCCACGGTCTGCAGGTCAGCCAGTCGGACTCACCATTGGATGGAACCAGCTGAGCTGCGTGTCGGTAGTAAGACTCGGCCTGGCTGGTCTGGTTACGGTAACGCGCTGAAACACAAACATGGACAGAATAAAGACCCGGGGCCGGTTCCACAAAACACCTTAGATTAAGACTTTCCTTAAAGTCGTGGTAGACTTAAAGTTTCCTTAAAATAAAAACTGTTGCACAAAACACCGTAAGTTCCATACTTAAGTTTCTTTAAAATGTTCAGGTAAGTATTGAAGGTTTTCTCCTGATCTTAGTCGAACACTGAAGGAATCACTTAAAGTCAGTTCAACTGTGGCACACAACTCCTTAGAGACCAAACTAAAGGACCTCCGACTCATGGTGAGTTTCAGGTGATAAATGAAGAACATGAACACATCCCAGTAAGAGCCTTCCAAATGACAGCAAATCAACTGTCTCCATGGAAACGGTAGCATTTTACCGCTGTAAAATCTCTTTCACTGCTGCAAATGCCTCAACAAGGAACCTTTTAAGAGATTCCTTGTAACAGCGTCAGTACGTCCCTTAGCTGAGGAGACATTAAACCTTAAGCGCCAAACTGAAGCAGAAAACTTAAGGTGTTTTGTTCCCCCTGATCTTGGAGGTTTTTAATTAGTTTTGTTTCTGCTCATTTTACAGGAAACGTCCCGTTAGAAGTGAACGATCAGTGTGGGACACAAGAGTGTGTTCAAGTGTCTTCAGGGAAAACACAGATGTTGGTTCTGATAACTCGGAGCTGAGAGCTGATTATCTGCTTCAGCTCCTCAAAGGAGACGATCTGTTCTTTCTCTCTGTTTTATATTTAGTTCAGTATATTGAGGTTTTGGACACAACAAGATATTTAGAGACGTCTGGGAAACTGAGACACCTTTCACAAACAATCAATTAACAGAGAAAATAATCCTCTGATTATTCGATAATTAAACTCATTAGTTCCTGTCCTGAATAAAAGCAGGTGAGGTTTTCCCACCGATGTCTCCGAGGTGGACGAGGCAGTGCTGGCAGATGTAGGAGCAGGAGCTGGGCTGCGGGGTGACGATGGCGCTGGTGTTGCTCTGTTTATTGCTGATGATGCCGAGCTGAGAGGATTTGACGCGACACGGCAGGTCCACGTTGAAGACGGTGCACAGCTCCTGCAGTAACTGAGAGACGGAGAGAGAGGCCGTTAATCTGATGCTCATTTGTTCAGCAGCTTCCACCTGAGACGTTTTCCACTCCGTCCTGACAGTGGCAGCAGGTCCAGACCTTCCCGCTGCAGGAAGACGTGACTCCACCACCACTGGCTCCCCTCTCTTTGGAGACAAACCTGGACCCAGGTCAGGAGGCGACACTAAGTCATCCTGCAGCCTGGTGTCAACTGACCGGTTCTGTGAGGACAGAACGGAGCAGCAGCTGGTTCGACAGGACGGACCGGACACAGAACAGAACCTGTCCTGAAGGACTCGCCCCGCTCTGGGGAGCTGGTACTGATCCGGTCTGTCACACTCAGTGTGAAAGAAGATCCATTGTTGTCTGTTGCAGCTCATAGAAAAGGCAAAACCTTCTGGTTTATCAAACAGCTGAAACACATGGAGCCAGAACCGAAGCCTCACAGGTTCTCATGTTCAGCTCGTTGTCCTTCTGAGAACCAGCTGACTCGGCTGCTCCATTACGGCAAAAATCAGAATCCTGATTACCTTTGGTCAATACTGAGATCAGGATTACTCATCGACTTTGGAAACTCAATATTCAATATACATTTAAAATAATACAAATATAAATATCCTAAATAATACATAATATCCAAATATATAATATAAAAATGAATAAAAATAACTAAGATCATCTATGTTGTAACAGTAGTGCATTTCCACAAGCCACTGAAAACGACTCAACATATATTCAACATGTTGGTAAATATATTCTACATATTCTGCTCAGTCTGGACCGACTCAAGATGATGCACTAGTATCACAAGTATCTCAATCATTTTGTTTTCATGATCAATTTGATTGATCAGTCAGTCACATGTGACTGCTCTCCCAGCCCGGACTCTCACCTGTGTGTAGAAGCCACTAGCTGCCTCCAGAAACAGCGACAGGTTGGCCTGGACCTCGCTGCGGTTGGGGTTGGCTCGGTTCTTGGCCTGGCTCTGCAGCGTGGTGATCTGGTTCTTAAATGCATGATTCCACCTGCACAGAGACACCAACACACATCTGATCAGGACCGCAGGGGACACACGGAGACAGGGAGGCTCCTCCTCCACACAGCTCTGTCTCTAAAGCGATTTGGGGTCATGTGTCGCAGGAGTGGACTCGGAGCAGCTTACAGGTCTTGCTCCACCTTCTTGTCCAGAGCGTACTCCAGGTCGGTCACCAGCATCTTCTGGTACAGGTCCTGCAGGGCCTGCCGGGACGTCCACACCTCTGCCGCCCCCAGCTTAGAATCTGCAGGACAGAGCGGAAACAGACGTGAAGCAAGTGCAGCGGGAGACGTCAGCATCACCAGGAACTGAAGCGCTAATCATTTCTGGAGTTGACAGAAAAATGTTGACAGCACTGAGCGGGAGAAGCTTTTCCAGAGCTGGAAGATGACATCACATGTCTGTTCAGAGTCCTAATGTTGTTGGTTTATTGTTCTTTTAAAACTGGGAAAATTATGATTTAAGTGAAATTATCTGGACAAAGTTCTTTCACAGCTGCTTGTGTTTAGAAAACATGGAATATCTGAGAAGTTAAAAACCGTTCGGTCAATAGTGTCGAAACAACAAGTCGAGCTGCAACGATTCGTCAATCAATGTCATTGATAACTGTTAATAATTTTCAATCATTTGCATTGAACATTTCTCTGTTTTATCTTTGTAATCTGAAGCTTGTTTTCATAAAGAAAATATTAAGCAGGTGAATTTATTAGGAGAAATAATCGTTAGTTGTGAACTGAATCATTATTTATTTTGCCCTTTAAGTTCACAAATAAATGATGATTGACAGCTGAAGAAGTGAAGAAATAATGAGTCAATATGAAAAACAGATGACAGTGAAGAAGAAGCCGGAGACTGAAACCAGAGATAATTACTGCTTCTTTAAATAAATAAATAAATAATTCAAACATTTAAGAAATGTAGCATCACCTGGACAAACTGCCAACAAGCAACTGCAACCTACGATTATTCGAATTATCAGAACAATTAAGTTTTTCAGCTGCCACATGTGAGGAGGAGGCTGCACTTGAAGAGATGATTAACAAAACTGTTGATTAATCATCATCAACAGACCAGTAAATTATTCATGTGTGTCACGTGCTGCAGCTGTTTCCCTCCTACTGCGTGACACACAGAGAAACTTCACATGTGGACTCTGTTCTTTGAATTGATTTGTGATCTGATCGGAGACTGATCACTCTGCCTTCATGTGATCACAGAAACATCAAACTGCATCCGATGAAGCTCAGATTCATATTTAATGAGTGTTTGGGAAGTTTGAGGATTCGATCTGAGGGGACAACAGACCGAAATCAAAGCAGCAGCCGGATGTGTGAAGAATGTCTGAGTTTCAGTTTCGAATGACGATCTATTCAATCAGTGTCAGATGTGTCAGACGGTCCTCCGCATCAGAACAAACCCTGCAGGCTGAATGTGGTCCGCTCCACCAGACGCTCTGGCGGGTGTCCAGACACCACGAGAAGCAAAATCAAGCCGGATGGTAAAAATAAAAGATGGTGAAGCGAGCGACGAGTCTGAAGCCAAACAGTGTGGTCTGTGGGAAAACAACAATCCACCACCACAGCAACAGCCACAGATACTCACACATTTAATAACCAGCACAAATTAACTGAGGCCAATTATCCACTGAACATTTCTGAAGGAAAATTCCAGATCAGTCTGAAACTCTTCTTCACTGGAGTAAATGTGACGCCTGACCGAGATGACACTTTCAGGTTTTCTATTCTGTCTAAATCAACCTCCTCATACCACAACATGTCTGTCCAGCTGATCACCTGACCTCCTTCACTTATTAAATACATGTAGAACTGCTCTGCAGCGTCAGTAATGAACTCTGTCTCTCTGGGTAAAACACTGGATGTAAATGTCTTGTTTTGTTTGACCGACCAACCAACAGCCACAAACCCAGAAACATTCAAACAATTAGAACAAAGAAAAGCAGGAAATCTTCAACATCATCTTTGGACTTAAATTATTCACTGAATGTCAAAATGGGTCACCAATTACTTTTCTGTTGAATGTTGCCTTGACGCTAGTGTGCAGTTAACAGGAGTGAGGTCATTTTCATTTCTTCATTTCTCTGGTCCATTCAACACCGCTTCAAATCAAAGTCATTGTTCATGTATAAAATGTCAGACACGTTCTGCTCTGAACAGCAGAAGAAGAAAGCAACAGCTGATGCTCCAGGTCTAGTTTTTGTCCTTTTCATCGTCGGGCCAACCGTCTGAGCTACACTCGTTTTTTCTGTGCATCATAAACAGTTTTTTGTATCATGTGATCTCTTCATTTGAACTGTGAATTTTCACATCAGTGTTTCTCTAACAAAGACATTGTGGGTCCAAATATTGCATCAAAACATTGAAAATTTTGAGATTTCACACTGATTTTATTCTTCCACACTGAAGAAACTGTCCACATATAAGGAGACCTGGACCACCAAGCCAGTTCAGCTCAGTCTGGCTCTCTCAGGGTCTGTACCTGTCTTCACTGAGCTGCTGATCAACTGTTAACTCTGAGTTTACCTCCAGCTATGACCGGTTCATGTGACACAAGTGGAGTCATCAGAACCACGAATGAAGTTCTTAATATCATATGAAATACCTGTGGAAATTTTGGTTAAAGCAACAGCAATTCAAAGAATATAATGACACAAATAGAATAGAATAAGAAGCAGGAGAAAGGGTTCAATTAAGAGCAGGAATGGTTAGTGGTACAGCTTTAATTGTCATTGTGTATTTGCTGTGTGTTGTGACTCATGGAAAGTCTGGAAGAGCAAAATGTTTCTATTGATCTATAAAAATATCTACTGTTCTTTATTATTTGTCACTTTATCATAAACTCTTTTGTCCATGTGGGAATCCTGTAGAAAAGAAGATCGTGGGAAGTTAAGTGGCTCCACAGCTGGTTAGCCCTGCAGCATCTGTTACCACGGTGATCCACCTCGGTTCTCTAACCAGGTTTGAAGTAAGCTAACTTTGTGATAGCAGGAAACCTGAGTTAAGCCCAATTACAGCTGGATAACCCACTAACCTGATACAGTACAGGCCCCCGATCTGGTCCTCAGCCACACCAGTATTAACTTTCAGCAGCTTTGACTAGTTTAAATATCTGAACTGTGACACAAGACAAGACAGAGCCTGACAAAGCTTTAGGTACCAACTTCACAGGAGTCCAGGAAAAAAATTAGAGCTGAATCAATTAGTCGATTAATCGATTGGTCGATTGACAGGAAAATAATCGGGAACTATTTTTATATATAATGATTTAAGTAATATCTTATGCAAATCTGACAAATATTTGCAGTGTAAAGCTTCTCAAATGTGAGGATGTGCTGCATTTCTTTATCACACGTGATAACAAACTGAATATCGTGGGTTCTGGACCAAAAAAAGACATCTGAAGGTGTCGCCGTGGGCTGTGGGAAATACATTTTATACTATATCGTGTCATTTCACAGACCAAACATATCAAGGTGATGCAATGTCTACGTGTATTGTAGCTCCGCTGAAAGTCAGTCTGTACTCAACAGGTATTGGTTTTACCCAGCAGCCCCAGCATGTGTCCCTGTGAGTACAGGTGCATTCCCCAGCAGCACATACACAGTGTCCATACAGAGTGAGAGAGGTGATGTTCAGACCTACCTGTCATGTCAGCCTTCAGGGCCTCTGCCTGTCTGCTCGGATGTAAACAGAGGAGAGAGAGAGGAGTGGAGGTTAGACAGGAACATCAGGAACATCAGAATCACACCACACACACACACACCAACAACACGTTACATACAACACTTCCTCATTTTTGTCAGAGAGCTAAAGCAGGTAGCTGTGACTGACTGTGAAGCTGCTGCTGCGGCTTCATTTACACATTAAACGGTTCATATCAAATGTCGGTCCGGGGGTCACATCGGTGGTACCGGGCTCTGACTACCACCTGGATCAAAATGCGACCAGATATACACAAACAAACCGTGAGATAGTCACCACCCGACACTGCTAACGAACACCTCTACATTCAAACCACAGAGCCCGGCCAATAAACCCGCTGCTAAACACACATTACCCGGTAAATAACCATGAGAGAGCCCGGTGATAGTTAATCAACATCACGTTTAATATATAAACGCATCAGGTCGTTAATGCTAACCTGACATACGCAGAAAGACGCTAGCAGGCTAAAGCTAGCTAGCAACACACACCGAGTGTCTCTGTGGCGGGTAACCACCGATTTAACGTTAAATTCACATCAACTGAAGAGAACAGACGTTACATCTGTCTACAGCGACACCGACCCGTATCAAACTCTTCACATATGTGACTGAATGTGTGAGAGGAGACGCAGACAGCGGTATCGATTGTTTGTTGATATGTGAGGCTAGCTGCTAGCTGCTAGCTAGCGCCAACATTAAGCTGAGGGGGTGGTCCCCAAACCTGCTAGCTTTAGCGTTAGCAACCGGACCAAACAATCCACCCGCCGGACTAAACCGCCCGTCTCTGAGCACACCTGTGCCGCCAGGTGAGCGGGCGGAGGGCACCGCTTCGAGCTTACCGTAGATACTGGGCGCAGAGGTTCATCCTGCCGGATCGACAGACTCTCAGACAACGACTGGTCCAGAAGCTAACGCTCCTCCCGGCGCCATATTGTTCCTGTCTGACCAACACAGGGAGGGGGGAGGGGGAGGAGGGGTGGGGGGGGGGAGAGGGGAGGAGATAACATGAAATATTTGGGATGAATAGACAAAAATACTTATGGTTAATCCCAGTTATGAGGTATTATTAAGTAACTGCTTTAGATTATTAGTACCTAAGTACATTAACTCAGTACTGTACTGAAGTATCTGAGTTATACTCTACTGAGTATTTCCATGTCATGTTAAAATTAAGATTTTTGCATAAAAGCATCTAATAAATGTTTATAAATATGATGCTTTGTTATAAATGAAAGTACACAACAACACAAAACCATTAGTGGTTCATCAATATATGGACTGACTCAAAATTATTCACCATTTATCATTGTTCAGGCAAAAATACAAATATTATATTTCAGGGCTCCAGCCTCTCAGACGTGAAGCTCTGCTCCTTGTTTTAATAAAGTTAAATATCTGGACAAAACAAACGCGGTGAAAGTGTCTGTTCATGTTTTTATCACTAGTTTCTGAATCTTCACAAATCAAACAATCAACTGATCAGTCCAGTTCAATACTGGACTTTGACTTGTAATAGAGTATTTATACACTGTGGTATTAGTACTCTTACTTTTTTCTCCACCACTGGATGTAAGCCAAGCTTTATAATTGTGACCAACCTTTTTATTACTGTTTGATTGGTTTTACACTCCACTGATCAAACTGATTGATAACTGCAGAAAAAAGGACCTCAGCTGTCAGTCTGAGGTCTTCAGTGTTTCAGGAACTTCTGAAAGAACAAAAACAAATGAGCAGTTTGTAGTTTTTTTAATAAACATCAGCACTTTTAGTTTCAACACACTCAGGCTGAAAACATTAATCAGTTAGTTGATCAACAAAATCAATACTTATTAATTGTTCAACTCATTTTTGATTAAAAATGTCAAACATTCCCTTTTCCTTCCCTTCATGTGAATATTTGTTGTTTTGTACAAACAGAAAAAACTGAATTACAATTGGACATTCAGGGATTTTAATCTAAAGATGAATGAACATGTGAAATTCCTTCTCAGACTCTAAAGTGTCAGTGAACTTCCTGTTCGTCATCACCAGCTCTACACATCTAAAACATGGTCACCTTCAAAGTCTTCCTCTCTGTGACGCCCCCTGGTGTCTGGACCGGTTCAGGTTCAGTCTCTCCTGAGCAGGAAATACTGTGTATTATGATCTCAGTCTCTTCTTTGTGTCTGTTGTCTTTCATTCATTCTAACTTCCTCTAACTGTATTTTAATCAACATGGTCTGCTGTGTCTCATTAATGTGGAGGAGGAGGTGTTAATAATAATATCAATAATAATACAATAACGTATAATAATTATAAACATACCAAATGATGCCACGTGGAATAATGAGTATATTTTCAGTTAAACACTCTTATTGTTCTTGTCCTGGTTAATCTCTGGATTATTTCTGTTAATTCCATCACTCCTGTTGTCAGGTGACTTTCAACGTTAAAGATGAAACAGATGAGATGAGATGAACCTTTACTGATCCCTCCTAGAGAAAATTCAAATTTGACGCAGCAGCACCAAGGGGGAAAATGTGATAAGAAATAAAAGAAGAAAAATATCATAAAATAAAAATAAATAAATAGGATAAAATAGAAATACTATATACAATAACAATATACAACCCAATTTATTTAATTCTGTACATGTTCAATATAAAAATAAAAATGAAGTGGTCAGATTAATTAGAAGTTACAGAAATCAAGTCATGGTTCCTGGCTCCAACACACACTCACACTGATTCATTTTATTATTTTCTATTATTCTCTGACACATGTGTGAGGTATGTTTGATATTATAATGTCTGAGGCCTGAAGTGGTGGCTGTTTATGATATCAAACATCTTTTAATGTTGATTTAAGATGTTAATTTATTCCTGCTGTTCTACACTTTTTATTAAGCTCAGGACTTTTCTTTAATCTGGTTTTAGTATTTTCTTGTAAAGCAGAGAAGTGCCTCATAAATAAAGTTATTGTTATTGTTATTGTTATTGTTATTGTTATTGTTATTGTTTTGTTATTATTCTGGGGTGAAGCAGCAGTAATCTTCCACACTGGGGGGAGTGTCTCTTTAACGGGCTGACGCCGCTTCCTGCCGCAGACTCACCCCCTCGCCTCTCTCTCTCTCTGCGGCTCAGAGGCGGCTGCCTGTGCTAACAACAACCGACGACCCGGGAACTCAGAACCGCACAGGACCAGGACCAGGACCAGGACCGGCACCGGACCGGACCGGGACATACGTAGGAAAAACAGAAGCAAACCAGAAGAAACCATGACAGAAACCACCAAGACCCACGTCATCCTGCTGTCCTGCGGCAGCTTCAACCCCATCACCAAGGGACACATCCATATGTTCGGTGAGCATCTGCGCCGGGGGGGTGGGGCAGTGTGTTTCTGGAGGATGGGGATATTAATAATTATCATCTCAGTCTGCATCAGACCTAAAAATGACGGAAATGTGAATGCGGTTTGGCGCCGTGTCTCGTCGCTGTCCAGCAGGGTGGTGCTGAAATGGGCGACGGCTCCACAACAAGATGAAGACAAAACACCCTAAACAGAGTAGTGACACAATAAGAACAGCATATAACCCGGGTCAGCGCCGTCTGGACCCGGGATGGTGAGGTTAAACCCGGGAGTGTTGCGTGTTGCCGCTGCAGGCCTCGGGCAGCGTGTGGCGCAGCCCACAAATGAAAGCGGCTCCACGGATCCTCCGGGATCCTGGATGTGGGCTACAGACACAAACACGCCGCACAACACTGACTGAAGCCTTCAGGCTCCAGCAGCGACACCGAGGCTGTGGGTAAACAGCAGCAGACAGACAGAAAGATTCTGTCTCAGTGTCCTATCTCTGATGACAGATGTTTTTACAGATGTGTCTGTAGTATTCACTAAACACTTCACAATGCCTCATGATAGTTGTAGGGAACCTCCTCATTTCCATCTCAAACTCCAACTAATTTACTAAATAATAACGATTGCATTGTTTATAACAGGATGATTAATGAACTGTCATATATGAAGGTGGATGAGCTGCAGTTTTCAAACAGGTCAAATCCTTTAAAAGTGACCACATGACATGGAAACATCCCATAATCTATAATCAACCAAAGCAAAAATAAATAAATAAAACATGATTTTCAAGCTGTAAATTTAAAGGCAGTTTTCCCTTTAAATTCCATTTAAATTGTGAAAATGATCCAATAAAGAACATTATTCAGCCGTGAATTAAATCCAATGGGGTGAACTCATGAATTCCCTCCTGAAGAATGAAGCTTCTGAATGAGGAATACCTGAAATGTGACGTGGTACATTTTACAGATGAAGGACGATAACAGAAACACTCACAGGATAACATCACCACAAACTAAACATGATCGCTGAGTCTCAATAAAAACAGACTTCAGTCATTTCTCCAGCTGACCAGAGAAACTGATCGATAAACAGCTGCACTGTCTCACTGAGGAGGGGAAAAGAAAGAAGACCTGATCAATAATCAATAACACAACACAACAATGAGACTAAAACCATATGTAAGAATAAGTGAAGTAAATGAAAGTGAAAATGAAAGTCGTCTACAGACACAGGATGTCGTCGTCACTCGTCAGATAAACCTTTAACATCATGTGATGTCATGTGACAGACTTGTAAACATAAACAAAATCAAATGATCATTTGACCTGATTAATAAACTTCACTAGTGATGTTGTTAGTGAGTGGTTAGCACTGCCCACAGCTGCCCACAGCTGCCCACAGCTGACCACAGCTGGTCACAGCTGGTCACAGCTGGTCACAGCTGCCCACAGCTGCCCACAGCTGTTCAAAGCTGCCCACAGCTGGTCACAGCTGGTCACAGCTGCCCAGAGCTGCCCACAACTGCCCACAACTGCCCACAGCTGCCCACAGCTGCCCACAGCTGCCCACAGCTGGTCAAAGCTGCCCACAGCTGCCCACAGCTGCCCACAGCTGCCCACAGCTGGTCACAGCTGGTCACAGCTGGTGACTCCTGAACAGGTCAAGATTCAAAAATAGAAAAATTAGGTGAAGTTGTTTTTATTGCATTTTAATGCTCAGATCTGAATTAACATTTTAATATTTTTCATTCATGTAATATTCATTTTAATGTGGTCATAGAACGCCTGTAAAAGTATATGAAAATCAAAATGCAAATTGGTTTATTGCATTTTAATTTGAGTTTTTACTCAAATAACATATGTGGCATATTGTGGAATTACATCATCGTTTGACTGTAGTCGCTACAGGCTTCATCACAGACTCCGCAGGTGACAGCACAGAGCAGGAAGTGTTGCTTTCTGTTTCAGTACAAGCTTCAGCAGAGAAACAGGAAACATGTTCAAGAACAGAAACATTATACAAGAAGAAATTTAACCAGAAATCTCAACAGAAAAACAAAAAGCTAAAGTTTGACATGTTGTAAAACACATTCTGCACACATGGTAATAAACAGTTAATAAACAGAGTAACAAACAGAACCATCACAGCTGAGTCTGGAGACATGACAACACTGACTAAATGAATGAAGGCAGTTCTCTGAGCGTCACAGTTTCATCAGTTTCAGGGGAGACTCAGTGAAGGGAAGGAAAAACGTTAAGGTATGACATCAGTGATGAACAGGGATCATCAGGTCAGTGACCTGGTTAAACAGGTTCAGAGTCAGAGACTTCTTATGTGTTTGGTTTAATCTCAGCTTCTGTCAAACAGCAGTATCAGACTGTCTTGACCCAACCGTTCAGTGTCTGTGGGATCAAACCACATTATCATGATCCAATAGGCTTCCTTGAACAGCAAACACACAGTCAGCAGGTTTTCAGCCGAGACTCCAGGACGGAGTTTCAGAGTTGACCAGAGTTTAGTTGAGTTCAGCTGGAGGATCTGAGGCAGTGTGTGTGGCCATCAGAGAGCAGGTCTGTACAGTATAGTACAGTATGAAGTACTTACTGTTGAGCATGTCTGCAGTTCATATTTAGAAGATGACATCAGTGTGTCGTCCAATCAGGAGAGCTTCTTGTTGGTGTGTGAGTGGAGCAGCTGTCAGTCACATGGTGTCCAGCTGACTCATCCTGACCTTTCACACGTCATCCTGGGATTTATTATGAACTACATTAATGTCTGATATGAGCTCTTTAAATCTGAGAATATGAGATGATGACATCAAAGAGTGTGGGAGGAGTCTGTGGTGATGTGTCAGCTGTTCCTGTTGTGGACACACACCTGCTGAAAAGATGATTTCTGGTGACCGAGAGATGGAAATGTACAAATCAGACCAACAAGTCAACACTTGAGTTTGTTTCGTGCACGGAGGACAGATCTGATGTAGGATTCACCAAGTCTCTCTCTGAATGACAGAACCTGAGCTGCTTATATCCTCTGTTGTTCTGGCTGTTGTAACTAACACCTGTTCACCTCGAGAGCTTTACCTCTGTGTTTCACTACTATTGCTTACCTCCTCCTAAAAGGGGGCGCATCACTAAATCTCTGAGGGATGTAGATAAACCCATAAACAACAATATAACCATGAAATCCAGATGTGTACTGGATCCTTTAACATCAGCAGCTTACCTAAGGTTCACATTCTTAACATCCTTAAACCAAAGTTACCAACTACAACTGTCACGGCTTGGTTAGGTTCAGGAAAAGATGGTGATTTGGGATAAAATAAGTACTTCCTCAACATTAGACAATCTTTGTTGTCATGGTTACAATAACAACAATGAACAGTCATGGATGATAGAAACAACACGGGAATCCAACACAGCTCTCCTGTGTCACGTTCATCCATCCACCACCTCCTCCTCCTGACGTGGACTCAGTCTCTCTTTATACCACGTCACTTCACTTCACTCCTGTCATCATCACTACGACCACTAGACGTCGCCTAGCAACAAAACCTAACTATGATGTCATAACAACCTGCTGTAAGAAAACTATGGGCTCGTTTTTCATGTTTGAATGTGTTAATGTGTAATACATTATTACATGTGTTAACACGTGTAATAATGTATTATTACACGTGTTAACACATTGTTACACGTGTAATAACACATTATTACACGTGTTAACACATGTATTAATGTATTATTACACGTGTTAACACATTATTACACGTGTTAACACAGTCAACCAGCAGCACTGAGCCAAACGCTGGCGTCTCAGCTTCAGGAACAACACTCGGTTTGTTTTCCTTCAGCAACAGACTGAAACTTTGCCAAGAAGTCAAACAAAAACTCTCTTCATCAATCACTCCCCCCGCTGAAAGAGCAGGTCCCCGCCACCGTCGCCGTGGTGACAAACTGTTGGGTAGTCTTGGCTGTTTAAAGAAAAGTTCATTGGGAATCCAGACGGAGCGTGGAGCGTTTAAGACCGACAGTGAACAGGGTTCAGATCCAGTCTGAAGTCCTCCTCTCTGATCTCACACGTTTTCCACAGAGAAACACTGAGCACTTAGTCTTTGCCTTATCTATGATCCTATCACATCAATCGATCAATCATAGATCAATCATAGATCATCTGTAAAATGTCCAGTTTGAGTCTCATTTGTTTTAATAACTGCCTCTGAGGGAACATTAACAAAAGTGTTTCACTGAAGAATTCATGTTAAATCACTTTGATAGATGATAATCACTGTAAATCCTTATTGATCAGGCTTCAGCTGCCGGAGTCCTGCTGACTCAGAGCTCTCTTTGCTTTTGTGTTGTAAACTCTGTTCATCAATCATAACCTTTGAAACAGAAAACTTTATCGTAAAGTTTTTCTAATCCTGCAGCAGAACTTCATTTCCCAGCATTCACCTCACAACGTCTGAGGGAAATCTATGAAAATATGAATCAAGCTCAAGTTCACTCACAGCCTCTCTGACCCTGCAAAGAATAAACACACACAGCAAATATAGAGAGGCGGGGGTGTGTGCAGGTACACTGACGTTCACAGTATAGATCTATTGATTACTGATAGATAACAATCATTGCAGAGCTGGAGGCGTGTTGTTTTCAGCTTGTCCGTCCGTCTCGTTCTCGTGGACACGACGCCTCCACCGAAATTCTTGGTACAAACATTCACTTGGACTCAAGGATGAACTGATTAGATTTAAATGGTCAAAGGTCAAAGGTCAAAGGTCAAGGTCAGCGTGACCTCACAAAACACTTTTTAGCCATTACTCAAGACTTCACAGCGATTATGAGAACATTTCAGACAGATGGTTGATATGTTGTCTGAGTCTGGAAGAACAGGGATGTGACTGGAGCCAGTCTGAGTGGAGGAGGAGCTGATGCTGGTTTTTCATTTGTTCCTCGGTCCGTTCTGTTTCTGTGTGTTTGCAGAGAAAGCCAGAGAATATCTGCACAAGACGGGGCGTTTCATCGTGATCGGAGGGATCATCTCACCGGTGCACGACTCCTACGGAAAACCTGTGAGTACTGATGGAGACATCACAGAGACGACAAAGCTCATTAACCAGGGATTTCCAAAATGTCAGTGTTTGTCTGAGCGGTCTGAAATCCCAGATGAGCCGTGTTCAGACAGCAGAGCCTCTGTGCAGCAGCAGAGAACATGCTGCTGCACAGAGGCTCTGCTGCTGTTTTCCACTCTGCTTCCTGCAGGAATTAATGAAGGTCTTGTCCTACTTTTGCTCTGCCTGCCTCTACAGAAACACACAACATGAATTATAGATGCTGCAGAGACACACGCTCAGCTCTGCTCCAGGATCAGGAGCAGTGCGTCAGCTGCAGCTGATGCTTTATTCACGCTGCAGGTTATACACATCAGTTATGACCTCGTTAATGTGTCGTCAGTACCTGATACAAGTACCTGACTCATCCACCTGTCGTCACAAGCCAATACATCCTCACTGCTGACTTCTTTAAAGACACCACTGGTGGCGCTGTGGAGCAAAGCTTTTAAAAGTGGGTCTCTGTTCTTTCTGTTTTTGGTGTCATGCACCTTCTCAGAGATGCATATGTATGAGGACACGTGGTAGCTCAGTGTGTTCCTGGGAGGCTGCAGAACCGCATTTCTAGCACCTTCCTTTTTCGCACCAGCGCCGACGGGCAAACAGGAGTTCAAACATGCGTATGCTCCAGGCGAGCACGTCGTATGGAACAGAATAGGCGCCATTTTAGATCCAGTATCCTGTTGTAATAAAATCATACATCCATGATTGTCCCAAATCAAGAAGTGCTCTTGTACACTCACAGGAAATGATGTGGCAACATGTGACGTCGATGGTCGCCCACCTGCCGGCTGCTTTGCTCACGTGATTTGGGATTTGGCCGTGTTTGCCTCCTGACTCAGGCGACAGGGAAATTACTTCCAACTTCCGTTACTGTTTTCACAAGTTTGAAAACACGTCGGCGGCCCCTCCCCTTCATCCTACATACCCAAGATGGCGACCATCCGGGTCCTTGTAGCTCACTGAACCCACTCATCTACTCTACATAGCAAGTGTGAGTATGTATCATGATGATGACGAGTGAGGTCAGGTCAGAGGTCAGAGGTCAGAGGTCAGAGGTCAGAGGTCAGGTGGTGACCGGCAGAATTTAGCGGGAAAGCCGACATGATGAAAACAAACGTTGGAGCAGCAAAGAGAAAAACGAAGAAACAAAAGGATTCGGACAAACAGACACGTAGTCTCTACTCAGCTAGCTAACATTAGCATACAGCCGGGAGAGGACGATGCTAGCGTCCTCTCCCGGTAAAAATGATTAAACTAATCGATAAGAAACTCAATATAATAAGAGATTTAAGATGTTAGAAATAGATTCAGACCCTAAGAAAGAACACCTGTAAAAATACAGTATGTCTTTAGAAGAGGCTAAAGAGCTCAGGAGTGGCTGACACTGGATACAGGAAACATATATTAGTTGTTACGGGTCTACGAGTCCTTGAACTGTCACAGAACTGTTGGTGCTTGGCTGATATGTTGGTATCGTAGCTGCTGCCTCAGGACGGTGTTGTTGTATCTACAGGTGATGATGTTGACCTTCAGGTTGTGATCATACTGTAGCCTGTCAGTGTAAATCCTGTGTGAGCTACAGGTGTTTACACCAGGTGGTAGCCTCTGCTGAGAACCTGTGACTCATTAACATTACAGCCCACAGCGGGGGATGTTTCAGTCAGGTGGTAAGACTCGGCCATTGGTCCGGACCACTCGCCTTCAAAGACCCAATCTGTCCCTGTGTCTGGTTCCTGCATGAAGCCAGATGTGTGGTAAAGTCCTTCCTCATAAAATAATGTACAAAGGCTGTTTTGAAGTATTTTAAACCCAGCTTTGTTCACATTTTAAACCCAGCTTTGTTCCCCATTTCCTGTCTTTATGCTAAGCTAAGATAACCAGCTGCTGGCCACATGTTACGGGGCGCTCACTCCACCAGAGACCCGAATCAGACTCACAAGACACCGCTAACACAACACAGTCACACAGAGTTCATTTAACATACATACACAAAACAACCAGGACACTGAATTAAGACTACGAAAGCAGTCCACAGCTAGAAGCCTGTGGCCCCTCTGAAGCTGCAACCACAGCTTTCAAACCCTTCCTTCCCGGGCCAGGTGCATCTGATGGAGGAGTGATCAGGAACAGCCTGGGCGGAGCTACAGGGGAGGCGGGACAAAAGCTCCAGGATCAATCTGAACGTGTCACTCTCGACAAGAGAAGAAGAAGAAGAAGCAGAAGAAGAAGAAGAAGAAGAAGAAGATCTCCCAAAGCTGTTACCATGAACATCTGCTCAAACAGCTGGAGCTGAGCAAAGGTCACGTTGTCATTTGTCAGAACAGGTTCACGCCTGTTGGGGTCAGCAGAGCATCACAAAGGTCACATGAACACACACACCCTGCACACCTGAGCACACATACACAATCCATGCACAAACATCCATCTGACTGTTACACACCTTCTTGTTTTCATGTTGTCATAGCAACAACAACAACCATGTCCACAGCGAAGCGGTGTCCTCGTCCTGTTGGTTTACAGTGATGTGTTCATGTAGCAGGTTAAACCTTCGCTCTGTGGTCTCCAGATGTGTTCATCCACACCAAACATCTGTAGACTGACTGTCCCTCTGTGTGTGCAGGGCCTGGTGTCCAGTAGACATCGTCTCACCATGTGTCAGCTGGCCGTCCAGTCCTCTGACTGGATCAGGTGAGACCACTTACTGGGATTTACTGGGACTTTTCTCCTGGAAATTCTGTCGTTCTATTCCCTCACCTTCATGTGTGATACGTGAGAAGCATTTCATTATTCCAGATGTTCTAGTTCAGCTGGATAAAGTTAATGTCACACACTTCTGTGCACCAATCAGGTTTTAACAACATGTCAATCAAAAGCAGCTGACAGATGTTGGAGGTTCATGATCACCCAGATTAACTGTTGAACTCTCAATAACTAACAATGTTTAATTTCCAAATTTCACCTTTTGATTGTTTCTTATTTTGTCATGAATATTTAATGTTATTGAGAAAAACTTCTCCTGACAGGCTTTTAATGTGAAATATCTACAGGAAGTTACTGATTGAAAACAGTATTTAACCGTGACCCACCTGCTGTGTGTGAAGCCTGAGTGAGCGTTAACGTGTGGTTGGCGTGTTGCAGGGTGGACCCCTGGGAGTGTTACCAGGACACCTGGCAGACGACCTGCAGCGTGCTGGAGCATCACCGCGACCTGATGAAGGTGTGGACCTTTCCTCTCCGTCACAAAACATCCTCATGTTCTGACTTTAACACTCAAGCGAAGGTGCAAAGACTTGTTTCCAAGAAATTAAATTAAATATCAAAATAAAATACAAAGAAAAAATTACACATAAAGGAAGTTGATGTGTACGATGGAGTGTAAGTGTCACATGGAGGAAAAAACATCTGCACATTTGGGAATAAAATCATAATAGTTCAGGAAAAGTCAAAATATCACGAGAATAAAGTCAGAATAATAGAGACAAAAGGATAAAGTCCAACTTTTACAATAAAATCATAATATTACCAGAATAAAGTTGTAATTTCAGGTTGTGTGTTGTTCAGAGGGAAAGATCGAGTCAAGTTCTACTGTAGGTTTCACTAAAGGAGAAACTTCATCTTTTGGATCATCATCATCATCATCATCATCACCATCATCATCATCATCATCATCAGGACACTGGAAAGAGGAAACTGAGTCTGTGCTGTTGTCATACCAACAGCAGCTGCCACTGACGGACCTTTCACCTGTTTGATTGGTTGATGTAATATTTCTATAAATAATGTTTTTCTCTCAAAATTTGACATTTTTAATTTTTTAATTTCTTTTTTTCCCTCAATGTGACTCTAATACTCCGTCATGAGTCTGAATTCAGATGTTGATATTAAAGGGGATGAACGGAGCAGAATAACTGTGACCTTTAAGGAGGAAACTTTACTGTCTTTTATTTTGACGAGCATCACCTGACCCTGATCCAGCAGAACCACGCCCCCTCCTCTCTGAGGTCCAGGGACCTGAACATGGCAGCTGCAGCCTCTGGAAGAACCAGTGATGATGAGGATGATGATGAAGATGAAGACAAGGATGAAGATGATGATGATGATGATGAAGATGAAGATGAAGATGAAGATGAAGATGAAGATGATGATGATGATGATGATGATGAAGATGAAAATGATGAAGATGATGATGATGATGATGATGATGATGATGATGATGATGATGATGATGATGATGATGATGATGATGATAATGGTGATGATGATGATGATGATGTTTTGTTTTGTTTTTTTCCTCAGAGAGTCACCGGGTGTATTCTGTCCAACGTCAACACGCCATCCACGACTCCTGTGATTGGTCAGCCACAGAACCAGACTCCACCCATCTACCGGAACCACAACAACATGAATCACAAGCCGACCGCCAGTGAGTCACACACACATGAACATCCACAGGAAGTAAAATGCAGCTGCTGGTCTCAGACTCCTGATGATGATGATGATGATCCTGATGATGATGATGATGATGATCATGATCATGATCATGATGATGATGATGGTGATGATGCTGATGCTGATGATGATGATCATGATCATGATGATGATGATGATGATGATGATGATGATGATGCTGATGATGATCATGATGATCCTGATGATGATGATGATGATGATGATGATGATGATGATGATGATGATGATGATGATCATGATGATGATGCTGATGCTGATGATGATGATCATGATGATGATGATGATGCTGATGCTGATGCTGATGATGATGATCATGATGATGATGATGATGATGATGATGAGCCTTCCCTCCTCTTCCTCTCTCTGCGTCCCTCTCTGCTCAGTCAAACTGTGGGGGAAGATCAGTGAGAGTCTGGGGAAGATCTGCTGCGCCCGCCCGCACATCGATCGCTTCACCTTCGTCGGTAAGTCGACACGACCTCCTCAACCACAATCCATCCAATCCCAGGGGTTTGCTATATATACATGTATGTTGTTGTATTTGTATATACTTGTTTGTGATTGGTTGGCAGGTGTCTGTTGACACCATATGTTCAGAGACCTGAGACAGACTGTTGTTGTTGTTTACTCTCTTGTTTGTCTGGAGCCTGGAGTGTGTCACATTCCCTCTCACACTTTAACACTGATACTTAACTTACAGACGAGTCAGCAGTCTGCCCCACAGAAATACAATTAAAAGTCCAAACCACAGAGCAGCAACAGGAGCTGTGACTGGCTCCGGCCAATACATAATCAATAATATATTTCAACATGTTTTCACACATTAAACTGGGTCTGAAGATCATCTCCTCTCACTTCCTGGTTGGATCAGGCCTTTAGCTCCAGGTGGACAGGTGAAAGAGCAGAGAGCATCAAGATGGTGAGAGGAGGAAACATCACAGAGCCTCAGTCAGACCCAGACTCAGAGGAGGAGTCTGTTGAGACCAGAACCAGAGACTAGCAGACGGGTCAGAACCGTTAGCACAGTTAGCATCTTTTATTTATTTATGTTGTTAGTTAGCTTGTAACTGGCAGTGGCTGAAACAGTGTTAGCGGTTGTGCTAATGCTAACTCTCTCTCTCTGTACTGACGAGGTTTCAGGTGTATTTAGCCCCGCCCCCCATCCCCACCAGATGACAGGATTGGTTCCTTAAGTTTGTGATGTATGAAACCCTGAATGTTTCTCTGAGACTGTCATTGGTCGAGGGTTAAATTATTGATTAACTGATTATAATTCAACATTATAAAAGTATATAATATCTCTGGCACACTTCAGCCTCCGTACCTGATCATATCTGAATGACGTGTGCTGTGTTTGATCCGTCAGATGAAAATGCTAACCTGGGCACCGCCATGAGGTACGAGGAGATCGGTGAGTATCAGGTCCTGGACGGACTCAGTGTTGTGTCCTCTGGTTTCCTTCCTGCTGTGTCTGAACTCCTTCTGGTTTGTTTGTTTGTTTGTATCCAGTAAACATGTTGTTTACTGAGGACGTGTCTCTTTCCTCCTGCCTGTTTGTCGTCTGTAGAGTTACGCATCTTGCTCCTGTGTGGCAGTGATCTCCTGGAGTCCTTCTGCATCCCTGGCCTGTGGAAGGACAGTGATGTAAGCACACTGTAGCCCCGCCCCCACCCACCCTATAGCCCCGCCCCCTCAGCTCTTACCTCGTCGTAATGATCGACAGGTCATTTCGATGTCGTTTACGATGAAAAAAAAATCGCTTTCACACCGTTAGTGGAGGAAACATCTGTTACTGAAGTTAAAGTAGTTTTACCACAGGGATAAATATATGTACATGTATGAAATATATGTACATGTAAAGTAAAAACATATATGTAAAAATTATATATGAAACCAATTAGAGACTGGAACCACTTCATATATTGACATATATGTCCAGCCCATACAAACATGTATGTTTATGTATGTATGCTTATATTGTAGACATACAGTCTGTTACATAAATATATATCCATCCCAAAGCCTGTCAGTATATGTTGATATTATATATGTCAATATAAAAGATAGACACGTATGTTTAGAATTAGAAAAACATAGATAAACATTTGCTTTATTAAACTTTAATTTATGAATTAAATATATATTGTTAACATATATGGTCACATGTTACCGTGGGTATTTCATATGTTATAAACGTATACATCCTCTGGATATATGAAGATATCTCCTCATAGGTGACATATATGGAAACATCAGTCTTTATACGAGGACACGTATGTCATACACTACATTATCATATTATCAGCAATAATATAAAGGGTGGTCTCAATAACTGAGTGTCATTAAATCTCCAAGGTAACGCTGAGCAGAAAGTGAGGAGGCCACTGTACAATAATGTGACATTATAATCAATTTATTGATTATATTTCTCATCTAAATCTGCAAAGTAACTAGAGTGATTATAATGTTGTGCAGTAAAAGGTTCAGTATTTTCCTGCAGACTGGAGTGTAGAAGAATAAAGTAGCAGAACATATAAATAAATGATCTTAGCTACCACGCTAACAAGTGAATGCTAACGGTCAGGGTTCAAAATCAACGGCTCGGATGTTTGGAATATTCTCTCTTTGAGTTCCTGCTGTGATTGAAGAAGCTGCGGCGCCGCCCTCACGCTCAGACCTCGTGTTGGTCCAGTAGATTCAGACTGAATCACCAGGTCTGAAGGAGCAGGGCCGCCTGCCGTCATCACTCAAGAAACCAGACTCTGTGATTGGCTGGGGAGGACTGCTGTCAGCAAACCCTCCTGAGATGCAGAGCTGAACATGGAAGATCCGGTGTTTCACCCTGAAGACATTTACCTGGTGTCACACCTGTCGCTCACCTGATGAGAGACTGCCACTGTCTGATGAGGCACACTTAAAAAAAGTGTTGGAGTCCAAGTCCAGTCCAGTTCAATAACTCATTAACTGAGGCTTTATCCATCAGTGCTAAGACTTTAATGAAAGACTTCTGGGTTGTCCTGTTTGCAGTGTGAGATAATCATGAGGAGGATTTGACACAACCTGGCAACCCATACGTTCTTCTCATTAAAGTCTCGTAACACCAGTAAATGATTGATTAGCCATTAATTAGTCTGTTAATTACGGCTGATAAACTCTTTATAAATTCAGCTTCAATGTGACTGTGTTATTTGAGTGAAACTTTTATATTTAGTCACAAACTGCCGTGAAGTTGACGTCAGTCGTTGTTGAGCTGGTGGCTGAGCGTGGACTGAAGGTGCTGCTGCTCTGCTTTCAGATGGAGGTGATCGTGGGCGACTTTGGGATCGTGGTGGTTCCTCGTGACGGCGCCGACACAGAGAGGATCATGAACCACTCCTCCATTCTCCGCAAGTACAAGGTCAGAGCCGAGTCACACTCAACCCTGTGTGAGAGACACACGTCCTCTACGCCGTCTGACCTGTGTGTGTGTGTGTGTGTGTGTGTGTGTGTGTGTGTGTGTTGCTGTTTCAGGACAACATCGTCGTGGTCAAAGACGCGATGAATCACCCGCTGGCCATCGTCAGCTCCACCAAGAGCAGGTGAACCTTGTTACTGACACAGACTCAACACTCACCTGATCATATCATTTTTATTCATGTTGTTCCCATCACTGTGATTCACTGCACAAAGGTTCATGTCCAGGAAGTGTTTAGCCTAGCTTAGCTCACTGTTAGCTTAGCTCCATCAAAAGAGAGAAACCCACTGCAACACGGCGCTGGACACTCAGTGACCTCACAACGATACAGAGGGCAGATCACACCGTAGATACTTTATTTATCCCCTAGCTCCTATCATTGTCTTCACACAGTGATAGAAGAACATTTAAAAACATCTGGATATATACAGTACATATATATTTTATATTTACATAAATGCCCCCCCCCTCCAGACTGGCCCTGCAGCACGGGGACGGTCACGTGGTGGACTACCTGAGTCAGCCCGTCATCGACTACATCCTGCAGAGTCAGCTGTACATCAACGCCTCGGGATAGAGACCAGAACCTGAACCGCATGAAAACAGGGGGAGTGAGGAGGGAGGAGGGGGAGAGGGGGGGTCGAGCTACCTACAACCATCATCATCTATATGAATATAACCCCCCCCTCCCCCTCCTCCCTCAAACTAAAACTTCCTTGTCTGTCTTCTGTGTCAAACATTTACTCTTCTTTGAGCTGTGGCTTTCCAACAGGAGCATCACTGTCCCTTCTGTCTGTGTCATGTGACTTTACCATCGGGGGGGGGGTATCTTGGGATGAGGTGGAGCTGTTGGAGAGGAGGTATGGAGCTAATCCCTAAGGGCTGCAGGTGTCATTGATGTAATTTTCCACTGCAGTGGTGGCGGCACTGTTCTATCTGTTTCTGTCTGTATTAAGTTTGTGGGGGGGGGGGGGGGGGGGGGGGGGGGGGGGGGGGGGGGGGGGGGGGGGGGGGGGGGGCATGACACACGGCTGGGCGTGCTCAGTGTGACGATGGCAGGTGGCTGTAACAGGACTGACCTCTGCCTGTGTGTCAGAGCCGAATGGGCGTCATGCAGGTTGCTTTACTGCAGCTCCACTGTCATTACACTTTTATAATGAGTTTCAGGCTCCGCCCACACGACTCCGAGCTCCTAAAGCAGACCTTCAGGAACTCTGCTGGACCCGCCCACCCCCACGCTCTCTCCTGATTGGCTGTCATCAGCCTGGACTACCAGTGGTGAATACAACATGATGATGAATGACAGAGTTACTGACCTTGTTGTCTTTGTAGCAGCTGCTGTTCACTTACATAATGCTACAGCTGCTGCTCCTCCCTCAGAGGAGACGATCTACTTCCTGTTTACAGCAGCTCGCACATGCTCAGTGTAGGTGATGGTCATGGACGGGGATGGTTTCTGATACAGAGCTAAAACGCTGATTGATTTGGTTTTAAATGGAGAGCAGTCGTGTGGACGAAGCCTCAGCTCATCGTTTATTTGATAGGACTTCACTCTCATCCAGCTGTTCTCAGAGAAACATCTGTAAACAGCTGCTGGAGACCAAACACAGAGCTAAAAGAGAGGGAGCACTGGACGGAGAGTCACGGCCCGTCGCACAAAACACCTTCAAGTCTGACACTGGAGGTTTAACGTCTCCTCAGCTGAGGCGGTTACTGAAGGTTTCAGGAAAACACTTCAGATATTTCACAGTAATTTAAGTTTGTTTGCTGCCATTAGCAAGTGTCTCATCCTCCTGTTGTTTTGGCGGGAACTTTGGTCTCAAGGTCTTTCATGCAACAGTTGAACTGACTTTAAGTGATTCTCTAAGTAAAAGACTAAGATCAGGAGAAAACCTGAAATACTTAAGTGAAGGTTTTAAGGAAACCTTTAGATGACTTAAGGGTGATTTGTGCATCAGTTTTTATTTTAAGGAAACCTTAAGCCAGACTTTAAGGGAAGTGTTAAGGTGTTTTGTGTAACCGGCCTCAGGGTGTTGAGGGAACCGCTGAAGCTTCTGACATGAGGCCCAGGGTTCTGGTTCAGGGCGTGAAGAAGGTCTAACGTACAGACCTCGTCTCTAAACTCTCATCTGTGGACGTTTAACCCACTGTGCTTCATCAGAGCTCAGCTTTTATATTAAACTACAGGTAACCAATGCAACAGTACAGCTGCTTCAGGCTTTGTTAGCAGTTAACCAACTGTCAAACTAACCAGGGGTTCGAACGTGGACGTGGTGGCAACGATGATGATGATGAATGATGATGATGATGATGATGATGATGATGATGATGATGATGATGATGATGATGATGATGATGATGATGTGGAATTTTCTAAGACACACCCTCAGCAGCTGTGTGTGTGTGTGTGTGTGTGTGTGTGTGTGTGTGTGTGTGTGTGTGTGTGGTGTGTGTGTGTGTGTCGGTTGTTTTTTCCTCCTCGGTTGCTCCTCGTAGACTGAATGCTTAGACTGTTTGGTTCTGGCATGAATGTTTATCACTTGGTAGAAAATGATCTGTTTGTGATCGGTGTTTGCAAAAAAAAAAAAAAAAAGTAGATAATAGTTATAAATATAAATATAATATACAGTGGAGATCATCGTCACACACGTCTGTCCATTTTCTATTCATCCTGTAAATGTACAGATCAGCGCCTCATCTGTTCACAATGATTTGGTGTGTGTGTGTGTGTGTGTGTGTGTGTGTGTGTGTGTGTGTGTGTGTGTGTGTGTGTGTGTGTGTGTGTGTGTGTGTGTTTTAGGTTCCTGTCAGTTGTACCTTGTAGCTGAAGATGAATCCTGTTTTCTGTATTAATCTGCCTTTTGTTGCTCTGACTTCTTCTTTTGATTGTAAACTGTGATGCACTCTTACAACTGAGTCGTCATTTTTTTGTGTGTGTGTGTGTGTGTGTGTGTGTGTGTGTGTGTGTGTGTGTGTGTGTGTGTGTGTGTGTGTGTACAGATCAGGATGAGAAGTTAATCTAATGTTATTGATGCTCAAATGACTTTAATATACAAGTAAAAACTAGAAATTTATCAATTTAAAAATGTCATCATATGTATGAAGCATATGTAAGTTATTAATTTAAAAACAGTTTGTTTTGTTAAAATTATGACATAATTCAGAGATAATATCTTAGAATTTTTAATTCTATTTCAAAGTTTTAATTTTGGCAGGATTAAGCTTCCATACAACTGAACATGTGCTCATATAGAAATACAGAGAAATTCAGCTCTTATTCAACAAAGTGATGAACATTGAGGCAAATGAAAGTGCAGCAGTTTTTATATGAGAGAGTAAAGATACATATAAATATTCTGGACACATCAACGACAAATAAAAACACTGGATTTTGAAAAATATAAAAACTGAAACTGTACACATATAAATAGACTTCTCTTACAGTCACCCGTCAGACAACAGACATTAGCACTAGACGACCTGTAGGGGGCAGTGTGGTGCTGGCTGAAGAATAAACAGGTTCAGTGGTTGGTTTGTGCAACAACATTAATATTATTATTAGTTCAACAGGACAGTCGCTCAAAAACTCTTGAAGCCAAATGATTTCTGCGCCGCCACTGTGAGGCAGGTTTCTCCTGTGGGTCTGGACTCAGGGCTCCTCGATGGGGGGGCTGTTGTAGCAGCCGCTGGGGATGGATCTCAGGATGTCCTCCAGGTTAGCGATGTCGCCCAGGATGGTGTCGATGTCCCCGTTGATGCCGACCAGCCTGCGACGCATGGCGGTCTCCTGCTGCTCCATGTCCCTGAGCCGAGGCCTCAGGTGATCCTGCACGTCAGTCTGAGCGCGGGCCAGAGAGGCCTCCAGCTGCTTCAGGCGGTCCTCGTCCACGGTGCCGGGCTGGTCTGAGGAGGAGGAGAAGAAGAAGGAGGAGGTGAAGAGTCATGGAGGACCAGGGAAAAGCATTTACTTAATTTCATAATTTAACAGGCATTAAAAATAGGGATTGTAAAAAGAATTTATACATGAACGATTAATCATCAATAAATACTTCAGATTTAAAAATGGATTTACAAAAACTGAATAAAACTCATTAAGTCAACCATTTATAAATACATTTATTAATTCATCAATAAATAATAGAATTTTAAAAATGGATACACATTCCTGGATTCCCTTTTCAATTTCCATTTTCCAGCTGCTTTTCCTTTGAGCTAATCAATTAGTTTGGTCATTCAGCCTCTCCAATTAGCCTTTCTGTGACACTCCTGAAAAAACCTGATATGACTGGTTAGCTCTCCAACCAATCAGAGGGCTTGTTACATCTCATGGCCAGTTGGGATTGTTGAGCCTTTATCAGCACTGAGTGTCACAGGGAGGCCAAATGGCTAGCTAAGCTAATCGATTAGCTTTTCGGCTTGGAAATCACTGAGTCTCTAGTTTAACATGAACACAACGGCTTGTCTCTCGCTGTTGCTATGACGCTCTGAAGACAACATGATATTAGGGAGCGAATGTATGTTTAACATGATGCAATAAGACTGGAGTTCAGTTCATCTGCTGCAGCTGAACATCCTGAAATAATGTTTAAAGTCCAGGGCCGGTCGCACAAAACACCTCGAGTTTTCTACTTAAGTGTGACACTTGAGGTTTGATTTCTCCTTAGCTGAGGGAGTTACTTAAGGGTGTGAAGCAGTGAAAGAGATTTTACATCAGTGAAATGCTACTGTTTCCATGGAGACTGTTGATGTAGGAACATGTTCATGTTCTTCATTTATCACCATAAACTCAGTCGTGTTCCAGTAAAGACAGAGTCAGAGGGACCTAAGGTCTTTAACGGTTTAACTGACATAGATAAGGAGAAAACCTTGAATATTTAAGTGAACATTTTTAAACGTTTTTATTCTATGGAAATCCTTAACTCAGACTTCAAGGAAATTCTTAACTTAAGGTGTTTTGTGCAGCTGTTTTTATTTTAAGGAACCCTTAACTCAGACGTAAGGACAGTAAAGCCCTGTACTCACTCATGTTGGCCAGCAGGTTGTTGATGTCTCTCAGGGTCTGTCCCACGGCGTTTCTGGCCTGTCTGGCGTTGTTGAAAGCTGCAGCTGCTCCGACGGCCGCCTGCAGAGGAAACATTCACACCGTTCACTTTATGTCCGACAGCGTGTCTTTACCTGACGGGTCGTCTCTGGGTGGACACTTTACCTGTTGAGCGTCGTCCTGCAGCCTCCTGGCGTCGTCCAGCTCAAATTCCAGGTCTCCGACCACATCGACCGCCTTCGTCCTCAGATCCTTCGCCTCCTTGTTCAGTGTGGTGGCTTCGTTCAGCAGACCGGTGTGAGGCGGCAACGATCCAATCGTTCCCTGGAGAACAGAGACACCCGGTCAGCTCAGAGCCCAGGTCCCACACCAGAGTCAAACAGTTCATATGAATATGCAACTCACTGACACTAACTGAATGTCCAGAACCCACAGATTCTGTTTGTTGCCTATCAGTTTATTGATTAATCATTGATTAAGCAGGTGACTGACTGACTGACTGACTGACATGTCTCAGGTGGAACAAGCAAAACAAACATTTGAATATGTCAGTAACAGACCTGGAGTTGTTGTTTCTCTCTCTTTTCTCTAGGCTAACACTTTCCCCCTGCTTCCAGTCTTTGTGCTAAGCTAGGCTAACACACACACTGTTTTCTAAGGCTGGTTTTTACCTCCAGACTGTTGACCAGGCCGTCCAGCATGTTGATTTTTTGCAGTGCACCGGTATAATCTGTGGACACTTCATCCAGGACGGAGAGCGTGTGATCGTTG